GAATTGACAGATCCGTCATCGATGTTCTCGTACGATTTCTTAGCTATTTCAGCTTGTTGACACTTAAGTTTGGCCCATTTTGACCTACACTCAAGAAATTTCTTAAGCCTTTGGCGTGTAACTTTGCGAAGTTGCTCCGTAACGCCATAAAAATGCATAAAACATGAGGATATTCGAGTTTTATAAATATCTTCAGCCATGTTTATTGGATTTTACTACATCCCGGGCGTTCTTTGTCAGTGCCCGCGATCACAATTAGAATTACCAGCGGTTGAGTTCGCAACTCAATATTCAAACATTTTCAACCAGATAAAAAAAGATTAAAACTTTTTTAAAGCACTTTAGATTTTATACCGATCCCAAACACTAACCGGCCTAACTTTTAAGAGTTAAAAAAGGAAGGAAGAAAAAAATTACAAAAAATTGAGAAAAAGAGCTAAATCAGATAATAAATGTTCGGCATCGATCCCGACCCTACCCTGGCCCAGAGGTTTTTTTAGGTTTGCGAAAATAAATACCCTCTGGTTCCAGGGTATCCCGACCCCGACTGCGTTTCACTTTCGGTACGCAGCGCCTTTACCGCTTGAGCTAACGACAAACTTGGTGAAGACTACCGCAAACAAAAGTTTTTATATTGCTACAAAATACGAAATAACTCCCGTCTGTCCAGTCACTTGGTTATTTTTTATTTGAGCTGCTATAAATGTTACTAGCTCATATAAGATCTGTGAAATTAGTGCTAAAACATAAACAGTTTTGTCAAAAAATTAAAAGGCAATATGTCTGGATCAAATAAACTGACTAGAAGCAAACTGATATCTTGAAATATAGATTAACATGCTGACAAACTGTTACAGTTTAATCAGGTTATAAATTCACATCGAGTATTATATAATTTATATTTGGCTTTTAAGATGTTTTCTTTCAAACATTGTGATTTCAGGAAACACTCGATGTTATCATCATATACCGCTGATAATACTAATTGTGATCGCGGGCACTGACAAAGAACGCCCGGGATGTAGTAAAATCCTTGTTTATTTGCATAACCGAGCGTGTTTCCACTTCGAAGCATGTGCGTTGGTTGTGCGCGTGCGCAGTGCGAGTTTGGCTGAGTTGCGCATGCGTATTTGCTATCAAAACAATGGCGGTTCGAATATTTCGAAGCGCGAAAATATCAAACTTTGGAGGGATTTTTCTCCCAATTGTGCACCTGTTTCGCTTGGGGAGCAACGGATTCTGATAAAGTAAGTTTTTATCTATTTATTCATGTGAAAATTACGTAGTTCCACGAGGGGTGCAACGGAATCCGTTTTCTAAGCATCTTTCGGATGCTCATCCCACGGCCTATCATAGCCAATCAACGACAGCTTATAGATGAAATGACGTAATGATACTAATTTCAAAATGGCGGCTTACTAAAGTGTGAAACAAAAGGCAATTTGTGAATTTACGAAATCAAATGCAGTTTAAAACAACGTCATTTTACTAGTCTGAATATGGCAAATGTCGCTAGTGCATTTTTGGCGAGCATTTGAAAGGTTTCATCATTAAATACGCAGTGGAAACGAAATGATTTGCAATTTTGGACAAGAAAATTATTGACTAAGGGCCATTCCATTTAATATCAACACCCCCCCTACGGATGAGGTCAGTAAAATTTTAACCCCTCAGAAAAAAAGATCAAAGTGCCGACACAAAACACCCCTCAGAAATTTGTAAATTTTCCCCTTACCCCTCAGAAAAATCGCAGAGATCAAAGGATGCCGACAGGCTTAACCCCTCAGAAACGACTTTTTGAGTCACCCTTCAGAAAAGCTCATCCGTAGGGGGGGTGTGGACATTAAATGGAATGGCCCTAATGGCATTGAGAATACTATTATGAAATTATGAAAGTAATGATTCTTCCACATGTTGCCGTTGTTGGTGTATATCGAGTTGTAAGTGTTGATGTTGATGTTTATGTACTTCTCAATTTAACATTTTCATTGGTGACTTAGTTAATATAAATTAGTTGAATGAAACCAATAGAAGGCTATATAATTTCGTAGGGTTACATAATTTCTTTACCAATGATTATAACTATAGACAACTGGTGTCTGCTTTCATTACAGACTTTGATAGATCATTTTTATACAAATTTAGCAGAGTCAGAAGCTAAGTCACACATATTGGAAACATTTCTCTTAAAGCACTTTTTAGCAGTATGTGCATTGAATAATTGCTTTCATTAAAGCAAGGCAAAGTAATAGTGGCTGCATAAAGAGCAGAGATTCAGTTTTAGATTGGAATATCAATACTTATAGTAACAGTTGCAACCAGTCATAATTATTAACTATATATCCTGGACGGGGTGCTCCCTTCTTCATCGACCCTGATTTCTGCAACTGAATGTCATTGCCAAGAACACCGGTTAAGCAATTTATATCCCCCTTCACCTATCCCATACTATATTGTCTTATAATCAACAACAACCATATGTCATAATGGGATCTTATTTAATATAGCACACAATGTACAAAACTAACATAATAATGATAATATTCTGTTTAGTGGATTTTCTTCCACAACAAAATATTATTGCATGGATCTGTTATGCTGAATTATATCATTCTATTCAAGAACTATATGCATCAATTATACTTCTAATTTCCATACTTGTCATCATTTGTTGCTGATGAATGACTTTCAATATATGACCTATTTGATATATTTACTAGGCATAAACAGTTGACTTGTGTGCCATCAACCCGGACTATGACATTTTCTAAAAGGAAATAGATTATATTTAAAAACAATTATAAACAGCAGAAATGTTGATGCTATGTACATATCAATTATGGTATAAGAAGGCTGCTTCCAAAACTCTGCAAAATGTAAAGTTAAAACTAAGACATAAACCTCTCCAGCAATTCCTGGATAGTTATTAAGTACTTGTTTTTCAGTAGTTGATCAATAAGCGTTGTCGATGCTACTGTTGGTGTGTTATCATCGCTGTTGTTGTTGTTGTTGTTGTTGTTGTTGTTGTTGTTGTTGTTGTTGTTGTTGATGTTGATGTTGATGTCACAGTTTTTGTGAAATTTTCCTTGTTTGCTAGTAATCTGTTTCAATAAAATTAATTAGGACTAATGTAGTAATAATACAGTAAGTTTATGTGTTTGTAATTTTTGTCACTGAAAAGCCCCTTCAGGGGAGTGTCAATAATGTCAATGAATCAATGAATCAACAATGAACAACAATGTATATTGGCACCACCTGTTATCCTGACAACTTCTATGCATCTACCATGTTCTCACATGCCTGCTAAAGTTTAATATGAACTATCAAGAAGATTTGGAACCCGAAATGTTTTAACAAGAACACAGATATGGATTTACTGGGGGGGTTGGATGCGGGGGTGGGGGGGTGCCCCTAGCCCTGTCCAGAGGGGGTGCAGGAGGGGGTCCTATTTTTCATGATAAACAAAAAATTATTAGAAACAAAATGAGATACAGAAATTTGAGTAATAATATGATGATAGGCAAACTGTGAACAACAATTACAATTCAAATACTGTAGTCAAGCAAGACTTTGCAATAGTGAAGCAAGTTGATGGGTGGGTGGCACACATGACCGACACAACTCGGCACCAGAGTGGGCAGAGTAACCCCCCCCCTTTATCAGATCATGCTGGATCCATCCCTGCAAGAACATTATAAATTAAGATGATTCAACAAGAACATCATAAAATTGAATATCATCTTTGTGACGTTATGGCCGGAATTAGTTTCTGCAAGTTGAATATATATCAGCCATTTTATTTTTCTTTCATCTGACATACTATAAATCTAACTTTATTTAACTGGTCAACTGTTAAACATCAGTCCCTTAAATTTTTTTACAAGCTACTGAGTGTTGATTGAAGCCTTGGCAAAAGTGCAATCACCATGAGCAGATACATGTACGCTTAGCGTACCTATTTTTAAACTATTCAAATGATGAAAGTTATTGTTGTTTTTAAGCGCTTATTAGCAAGTGCGAACGACCAACATGGCCGCCATCTTATCAAATGCGGGTAACCGCTGAAATATTCTTGGCTTCAATTTTACTAAAAGAGATGCGCTAGCTATCTATAGTGTATATAAGATATCTATGATAAACACCACCCTCAAGTCAGGACTGCTTCTAATATAGGAATTTTCCAGCATTCTTTTAATTAATTGCTTTAAGGCAGAATTATGGCGTTCCGTTGCGGACAAAAATACGAGTTAAAATATTCAATTCGAAGTCGAATATTTTGGGATCGAAGTCCAAAATACGATAATCGATGTCCAAAATACGATATTCGAAGTCCAGAATACGATATTCGAAGTCCAAAATACGATAATCGATGTCCAAAATACGATATTCGAAGTCCAAAATACGATATTCGAAGTCCAAAATACGATAATCGAAGTCCAAAATACGATAATCGAAGTCGACTTTTTTTCATCGAAGTCGAGAGGAAGTGAAAAATAATATTCGAGAGGATACGGAAGTTGTCAGAATGAAACCGGAAATAGGGATTTATTGCCTGGAGACAAAGTTCCGCAGGTATATAAAAAGTTATTTTGAAATGGCGCAGCGATGGCTTCCAAATTTTGAAGAATTTTTTTACTCTTTGGGACGACTTATTGAAAATGCAGAGAGGCAGTTGCACTCTCAAACTTGCTCGGAATATCTTATACGCCGTCTGGACGAGTATGAACGAACTGTATCGACTTTGCTATCAAGGCTAAACGAAACTTATCAAAATATGCCTGATGTACTTCGTTCTTTTCAAGACATAGAGTTTCTTCGAAATCGCTTGGGGGCACTGCGTCAAGAATTTGAAGGTCGATCCAACAATATGCAAGATAACAACTGTGAAGAGGAATACAACTTGCGCAGTCGCCTAGAAAATACAAATGAAGGACGAGGACGGCCAAGGGTTGAGATTGCACAATCCCAGCTTGAAGCATTACACAATGCAGGAGGCTTTCGTTGGAATGATGTTTCGCGTATGTTACAAGTTTCAAGCAGAACATTGCGCCGACGAAGACACGAATTGGGCATGAGGGTTGAAGGAAGAGAGTTCTCTGATATAAGTGATATCCAACTTGACAATGTTGTTCGAGAAGTGTTGCAGTCTACCCCGTCTGCAGGATTAAGGCTTGTTCAAGGATCACTTAGACAGCAAAGCCTTGTTGTTCAAAGATTAAGGGTACTTCAATCGTTAAGGAGAGTAGATCCAGTCGCTTCTACTTTACGAAATGCAAGGCAAATAATCCGAAGAAAGTATAACGTCAAAGCTCCAAATTCATTGTGGCAAGTATAATTTCTTTATTTATACTTTTACTGTAATAGTTGGTTAGAGCTTTTGTTTGGGATTGCGAATATATATGGTTCCACCCCCCCCCCCTTAAAACGCATTATTGATTGGTCGACCACCAAATAGCATGATTCAGCCAATAGCGTACGACCTTTCGAACAGTGCGTTCTAACAGACAGTAGGACGCTGTACTTAGTGATGGTTCACCATGTTGCAATTATAAGTAAGCAATTACTATTGTCATAAAAGAAACTGTTTTATGTTAAATGTGGGTACCCCAAAACTTTGTTACACACTCAAGCAACAGCAAAGTTTTGATACAGTGTCTGCACAAGAACTTAAGCTAAAAATGTTGGATTTTTTATTCTAGGCACATAGATGGAAACCACAAACTAATTCAACCATACAGAATAGTTATCCATGGAGGTATTGATGGCTATTCACGTTTAGTTGTGTTCTTGCAAGCATCGACCAACAACGCCGCTGCGACTGTGTTGAATCTATTTCATTCAGCAGTTGAGAGGTACAACCTACCATCTCGGGTTCGTTCCGATCTTGGTTTGGAAAACATTGAAGTGGGAAGATATATGCTTGAGCAAAGGGGGATTAATCGTGGAAGTATCATTACAGGCACATCTGTCCATAACCAACGCATTGAGCGACTTTGGCGTGACGTCAATAGAGTTATTGTTTCTCGGTTTCTGAATATTTTTTTATACCTCGAGGGGAATAATATGCTAGATCCATCCAATGAAATGCACTTGTTTGTCCTTCAATTTGTGTATCTAGACTTAATTAACAATGCATTGGATCAATTTTGTTCACAGTGGAACAATCATCCAGTGTCAACTGAATGCAATTTTTCACCACAGCAGTTGTGGATCAGGGGTATGATAACTCAGAGCAGTTCATCATCTACCGCAGTACAAGCTACCGCAGTGCATCCTTCAATTTTAGGCATTGATGAAGATGGTCCTGTCCCAGAACAACAACAAAACTACCAAGTTGTGGTTCCTCAGTATTCAGTTAACATTACAGATGAGCAATTACATCTTATTAGAAGAGAAATTCAGGCAGTGAGCGACAATAATGGAATCACACAATATATTACAGCTCTTAACATAGTAAGCTCTATTCTTTAATTAAAGCTGATACCAGTCATTCCAGGCATTAAAATAAGTTTTATAAACCATACTTTTGAAAGATCTCACTAAAGTAAACTCCAGTGGCATATAAGCCGGGGTCACGTTTTTCGAGGGGCGAACGCCCTTCGGCGTGAGATACTCCGCCCCCCCCCCTCCAGGTAAGACTTTGTTCAATTTTGAAAACATTCAAGAAAGACATATTTAATGATCTCTAATATGGTCACTAGATCATACATGTAAACATTTTCCTCACTTCTTTCTTATCCTCAAGGACACTTATTTTGATTTACAAGGACACACTTTTGGTTCACAATGACACAAAGATTGCAAAAAACACACTTATTAAAAATGCCTGGATTGAGCGATTACGAAAGTATGCCAATAAGAGACCATCTCTAATGCCGGTTTTCCACTTGCGAATTTTTTCGTGCGAAGCGAATTTTTCATGTGTCTTTGGTCTCTCAACTGGAACCATGAGGAACTAATTGGATAAAGACAAAAGAAAAATTCGCTTCGCGCGAAAAAATTGCAAGTGGAAAACCGGCTTAACACTTGACATGAGCAAACAATATAAAATGTAATAATTTAAAACACAACGTGCTTATAGACATAATGGTCTTTCCCTGCCAACAAAACTATAACAATAAAAAGCAATTATAAACTCTATGACTGCATATGACAATTGACTGGAAATAGATTGCACATTTGCACCCAAGTGATTGTATAAATAACATGTTGCATCTGGATTCAAGAAAGAGGGTTACGAAAATCAGCACGAAGTGAATTCTTTTCCTTCTTGCCGAATTGCTGCAGACATGCTCGAGTTAAACGACTCTTGGTCAAGAGTCCCTAGCATCGCAGGCAGACATAGCTTCATTAAGCATGTAGAGGCAAATATCGATGTCGATGTCGAATTGACCTCCAAAGCAACACGTACAAATGGCACTGAGCTGATGCCAGTAATGAATTTTAACAAGCTTTCCAATTCTAAAAATATATAAAATTATATTAAAATGCGTCTGCCTCTTCGGAACTGTAAAAACTTGCATTAATGGGACCAATCCCCTATTAAACTACATTTTGAACTGGGACTAGGAAAATTCATTAATTCAGTAACAGCTGTACACAGGCTATTTAATAGGGGATTGGTCCATTAACTCATAGTTAGTATTAAATCAACTACGTACTGTTTAATAAACGAGCAGGAGTGTTTTATTAGGTTCAATGCGCGCTCGTGGCTTTATACCTAATAAAACACGACCTGCGAGTTTATTAAACGACTACAAATTCAATAGATATACTGCCTTATTAGTATTCTTTATGTAAAGAATACTAATGAGGACACAACTACAATAGATACTGCCTTATTAGTAGTCTTTATATAAAGAATACTAATTAGGAGTATTTTATCAGGTTTAAAGCCACTGCACGTGACATATTATAGTTGACATGATTTGCCAATAAGCTTATGAATTATTAATGGTGTTTGAAAGTATGATTAAAGTACCAACGTCTTAGTTAATATTAGAAACATTTAGTAGCATATTAGGCACCCTGGAAATATTTTTAGGGAACATAGTAGGGCGCACCTTGCCTCATTATCACCTAAGTCATACGTAATGCAAACTGCAGTTACATACCCTGTTCACTAGCATCGTTTATAAAACTTGCTAGCATTGCGTACATTGTGGCATCTTCCGGCTTGAAGACAATACTTTGCAACACAGCAGATGCGCTCACAGCATTCTCATTGTGTAGGAAAACTTCCTCAAACTGGCTAGGGTTTTTCCTAATTTCTTCAAGGATTCCTAGCGTCTGGAGACCCTTTGCAAAATTGTCTAGCATGACAGCTCTCTTCACAAGCACATGATAGGACACCATGGCTTCAGCAATGGCAATGCTGTTGTCAACCTAGAGGTGAGAAAGCAAATGTTTAATTTGTAATTTCAAAATATTACAGACTGTTAGGCTTGAAAGTTCAGTGACACAGTAAGGCATATCACAAGCGAGGATAAAATGCAATTAAGGGAGCGGTCACAATTAAGGGAGCAGTCATTGTATGTACTATTTATTTCCATCAAAGGGGGGTTGGAAAATTTACCTCCCCCCCCCCCATAAATGATGACCACTCCCTAAACAAAATTGATTTTTCAGAGTGCATATGCTGCAGTAGGCATTTCGCAGTATGGGGTAGAACTGTACATACATTCGGTAAGGTTACCAATCCACTATCTTGGAGAACATTTAGGAATGGTTCAGATGAATTCAATTCTTGGAGTTCATCATTTTCCTTAGCTGATATCAACTATATATATAACAAACTATATAACAATTACTGAGTACTGCATGTAGTCTGTGTTTAGGGTGATGCTATGCAGTTGCAGATAGAAGGTACTGTATCAACCCCCACATTTTGACAGTCTCTGCCTAATTTTAAGCGTTGGTAATTTGCCTTCCAATTCCCCACCACCCATCAGTGGCCCTGAAAACAATAACCAACCTTCCAACTATTATTTGGACCACTGAGTTCAGATTATACATTGTCATATTGTTAGGCCACTACAAGTTAATCTTTAGTTTCTGGTCCGCCGCCCGCGTCCTTTCTCCGTAAAGTATTATTTCAGGACTATTTTGTTACTTACAATTAATTTCTAGTTGTTGAAAATTTCCGCGAAGGATTTAACTTATAGAACGATAAATATTCAATTTACACTAAAAAGACCTAGCAAAATGTAGTATTGAATGGTAAAAACCGCTGCCTTATCGATACTACGAGGTAAAAAAAACTGGAAATATTAATAGATCATTTTGATATGTAAAATCCTTTGTAATCTGTCATTCATGTCGATTTATAAATAATATGAATGCAATTTATGTAAAATTTCATAACATTTTGATACAATTAGCATGAAAAGAGACAAGAAGGACCACAAAAATGTGGGCAAAGCCACAATAGTAATTGTAATTATGTCCTATAGTCCTAACCACCCGCCCGCGTCGTAAACGGAGGTAAGGCCGAATAGAACATTGAATTACATTGCGTGAACCGTGCATGTCGAAGGGGCTGTATTGAGAATTATATTGAAACACAGGCGAGTGCTAACAAATTCCATATGCCACCCGTTATTAGCACACAAGCACCGGTAATGTACATGACTATTGACTACACAGACTGTCAACTTCCAAACAATTTTGTCAACTTCCAACGTGTTATCGCAGTAATTTATAAATCTAATAGACAACATGCTGTACTGTACCTTGTCACGTTTTTCTGTGTCGTACACATCGTATATGGAAGCATAAGCTGATGCTCTCTGTACGTCCGTAGTTGCTATGTAATAGTAATACGAAGGCGTCAAATATGGGAATCCACCGCAACCATGTACGAGACTTTAATTGTGCCACCAATTTTCCTAAAATCTCTGGAATTCCAGCTGCCAGACAAGATTGATCATACCTGAACAACAATCTGCTATGCGGACCTTCAAAAATACTAAATAGTTCTGCAGCACAGAACTTTTCTTTCAGAGAGGAAAAAACACACGTAGAACTCCTCCTGTGTCAATGGCTGGTTGACCACGAAATGAAACACGAAGAGGCCTTTCGGGGTCAAATGATGGGTTTTTATAGAATGCCACAGCATCACTTAGGATATCATCTTGATCGACAGTCAACTTACATAGCTGATTTGTGACATTAACAGATTTTAATCTGTTCATTTTCTGTACAACACTCATTTTCCTCCAGGTGTCTGTATCTAAGAGTGGGCTATCTTCATCTATACTGTCCTCATCGTCACTCTGGTTCTCATACACATCACTACTTGTCTCAATTACAACTAAAATAAATAATTAAATTAAAATCAATGAACCACAAATAATAATTTTCAAAATAATGTTCTTTAAGTTCTTTCAGAAAATATAAAAACATTATAGTACACATAGAAATATGCGTGGGGGGGGGGGGTATTGAAGAGTGTACTCTCAATTTCTTCAAAATCACATTCCTGAAATATGTCTAAAAAGTGGCATTTCAGAGGGTCTAAAATCACTCTAAATATCAACATTTTCTGGGCATGTCCTATGACCCCTCCCCCTAGGTACAAAGGTGACACTCACAGCATTACATGGACTACCATTCCTTAAGGTTTGCTGTACACATAAAAGCTAGCCACATGCTTTAACAACATTAACTACAGTAAAGTACAGTACAGTACAGTACAAAAAGACTGTACAGTAATGCCAGACAAATTTACTTGTCAGTGGAAAAGTACTGCCAGGTAACGAATTAATTGAAACACAAAAAACTACAGTACCTTCATCCGTGTCTGAATTTCCTGCAAGCATGGCATCAACTGCTTCATCAAGGCTTTTACTTCTAGTAGCTGCCAACTCAATAGCATTTTCGCTGATGTCTGGAAAAATTATACGAAGCCTACTCTTTGTTTCAGATTCATATCTGATTCTCTTTCAATTTAGTGGCTAAACAATTTAAAATTAGAATTAATGAAATACTGCAAACTGTACATGTCATATCACACCAAAAGTTGCCAAGAATTAATGACTGTGTACATGTGACAAAAGCATGGGGAACCGTCGCCTACAATGACAGTACTGTACCACTGATTGCTGACAAAACTAATCCTATTCATTCAGCGAAGTGGATCTGTAGTAAAAGTGCAGTTAGTTAATCTTAAGGTTTTCACCCAAAACACTTATGTCATAACTGCTGCAATAACAATAAAGGTTTTCCTACCTTTACAAGCTTTTATTTAAAAAAAAACACTGAAATTTGTCTTATATGTACTAACCCCAATTTACTAACCAACCCCACTGCACATTAGTATTCTCTTTGAGGCAACAACGCAATGCGCTCATTGCGCTGTTCCGGAGCAGTAATAATAATTTTGCTTGGGTATTTACACTTGGTACGTTGTAGCAAATATTTTGTAACAAATACAAAATTTGTTTTTATTCTCGATCTTTTTGTAAGTTATGCTTGTGTGTGTTGTATGTGTTGAAACCGTGAGAAGGTTTAGTCAGTGGTAAGGTACTGTCTTATAATAACATGTATTAAGATGTTCAAATAACTTCAAATACCTGCTCTGTTTCACTTCCTTCTGAATCCGAGGCACACTGTGACCGATGTCATACAAAGCTGGTTATTGATGTCTGTAATAATTCCTCATCAACGTCATCATCTTTGCCAATATCAGTCTTTATCCCAATTAAATAATGATGCTGTAGACACAAGCAACCGTCGAAGATGCAAGCCTCTGAGACTGCATTTCTCGCATTCTGAGGCGTCTTTTAAAAATATCTTAAAAGCCATAAATGGCAACGTTTTGTTGTTTCCAAACCAAAAGAAAGTAGGGTATAGTACATGTCAAAATATATTAAGAATTATTTATGATTTGCCTAACTAAGGCCGACTTGGCCGCCATATTCGAAGTCGCTCATGATAGCTGCTATCAGTGCTATGTGTGCAAATTCAACCACCATAGGCATTTTTTACTTAGGAGTTGGGATTCTAGATTGGGAATACCACACAATCACACATCGTATGGGCTCTGTACCCCCTCCCCCTTCCTGCCCGGATTTTCACTTTTCACAAGGGCAGTCCTTCTGTTGATTGGGGGGCTCAATCCCCCCCATGCACCTCCCTCCCCCCTTCGCTACGCCTCTGATAGTGAGAGAGGTGGTGCAATGTACAGTGTGATCAAGACATTTTACTTACTATACATTATACCTACATATCACCATATCAATATGTCAAGTATTTTGTCAAAGCATACAGTCTTTCTAAACACAGATACAATAGATTTTGGCAAGGTATTTTTACTGCTTTAATAAATATTGTAATGGTACCTTTGAAACTCTTTGAAACTCTACGTTATTGTGTAATTGCAATAAATGTTTTATCTTACAAGTGATATGTGACTGCTTAGTTGAATATCTCATCCTATAATTCTCAGCTGCTAAGGGGAATGTAAACCCATCTAGTACGCCTGAAAATGTAAATTCTGGAACACCCTCTCAAAAACTAAACCGTAATGTAGCCTAATTAATGCTGTTTTACATTACATTATTGTACCTTTTCATGTAAGCAGGCCAGGACTTTAAGTGCTCTAATATATATAGGGCCATTTCCAGTTATGTGTTTTATTACACAACCAGAGATTTCTTATCCCTCCTGAAGTGTGATTGAAAGAGCATCAGTTCCAACACTCAAAGCTGAAAAATACATACAAATTAATTTAAATAATTGAATTATTAGTGTTTCTGATTTTCTAAGCTTTGTACGAGTTCGAAAAGTTCCTACCCCAAATTATGAAATATAAATGTACTTGTACATCAGACATATCAGTCTGTCCTATTACCCTGAAGGCACATGCACTTATATCCGAATATATTGGCTGTGCAACTCCAGTTTTTCAGCTCTGGCTGGTCACTATGGGGTGCCATATCTGCCACAATTACATAATTATAAAATTAGTCAGCATTTTCTTATTATCATTTCTCTTATTATTCAACAGCATTAATTATATATATTATTCAACAGCATTAATGTCTCGATCAATTCCATAGTTGCCCAACCCTCCCCCCCCCCCCTCCAGGAGTTTGTTGGGCATTCTCAACTGTACTTGTTCTCAGGGTCGGGCATTTGCTTTCTGCAGGTTAGCCCCGGGGTGGGGAATTTGTTTGAGGCTAAAAAGTCGAATATTTATCGCTTGTTTCGCCATTTATCCGTACTTTAGTACGCATGTTTACACCGCATGTTTACACGTGCGTGCGTATTGCAAATTAATCATGGCGAACATACACACAACATTGAATTATAGTTGAATGACACACAAAGACTTTTTTCTTGTCAATCCTGTTGATACATTGACTTACTTCCACAATTTGATATTGCTATATAAAGTTTTGAGACTTCAATATTTTAACTAAAAACGTTTTGAAAGGAAATGGTTACAGAATCGATTTTAAATACAGATATATTGATACGTGATAGGGCTTGCATTCGATTTTTGGATCAGAAATCCTCAGAAAATGTAAGTCCCCAAGGGTGGGGATTTTGTTGCATTATTTGGACCCCATAGTGGGGCATTTGCAAAGTTTTTTCGCCAAAATGACAAAAACCCGACAAATGCCCGGGGGGGGGTTATATTATTCAGCACTTGTTGCACTATTATTAGCCAGCTATGTTATCATAATCCAGCTCTGATTTATATCATATATTATTTGGTTTGACATTGGATTGGTCAGTGGGCCAAGGGGAGCGGGGGGGGGGGAATGAAAACCGAAATGTTCAAATGAATTTTATGTGGCCTCCCCCCCTCCAAAATTTACATACGATATTTACTAATGCCTCGTACAGTAATTCGTGTAACTCGTAATCCATTTAAAAAATTTATAATTACAAATGGAGTAAATACTAGTTGCACAAATTTTGTTGGCCTCCCATTTTTCCTTGCATGATTTATCTGACCTCCTCCCTGTATCTATTCACTTACCCAACTTCATTTCCATGGTTGTCGACAAGACACTCGTGAAATAGAGAGCTTATCGCCGCCCTGAGCTGAGTTTCCTGGTATGTCTTGTGAAAAGACCAGACATCAATATATAAGCCTTTCTCAATAAGATTGGCTTTCGCCTTAAGTCCGGGTACAGTTCCCCAACTTGGCGAAGGCAATAGACAAACATCTTTGAATGTCGGCTCGCACTGTTTTCCTTGCCCATACGAACCAGCACCTTTTTCAAACCGGTCTGTTGAAGTCAAACGAGCTGCTTGCTCCCCCTTCCTTATTTTGCCTTTTCCTTGACTGTAATTCCGCAAAGGCGAATAATTGTCGACAAGGGTATTGGACGAGAAGTTGAAGGAAATGAAGCACATTGAAAGCTACCGCTACCTGCAACAGATGTATTTTGGCTTGACGAAGAAGCCTCATTGCCGTCAACGCCATTTGCAACAGTCGCCGGACTTGCCGCATCTCTTGGTATAAAAAATGCATTTCGTATTTCTTCTTCTCTTAATCCAAACCGGTTGGAAGAATTCTCACTACTCGAACTGGCCTCCGATAAGCTGGGGACACTATGTAAATTGCTTATTACAGCTGCTACTATTCGCTGAATGTTCCTTTCTTCTTGTCGTTCCGCCATGCTGAACAGTGAACACATTTCTCGAGCTAGCGCGGGAAATTTTGCGGGTTTGCCTGTTTATTTTTAGCTTTTTACTACTTACGGAACTTTGTCTCCAGGCAATAAATCCCTATTTCCGGTTTCATCCTGACAACTTCCGTATCCTCTCGAATATTATTTTTTCATTTCTTCTCGACTTCGATTATCGCATTTTGGACTTAGAATATCGTATTTTGGACTTCGATTGTCGTATTTTGGACTTCGAATATCGTATTTTGGACTTCGAATATCGTATTTTGGACTTCGAATATCGTATTTTGGGCTTCGAATATCGTATTTTGGACTTCGAATATCGTATTTTGGACTTCGATTATCGTATTCCCGACTTCGATCCCAAAATATTCGACTTCGAATTGAATATTTTAACTCGTATTTTTGTCCGCAACGGAACGTCATAGTCAGCGTTCTTTGCCGGGGGGGGGGGGTGTGCACGAAACTTCCACTGTTTCTTCCTCGTTCTCTTCAAAATAAGACCGCACTAAACTTTATTGTTTTAGCATATACAGTGGTTTTACGAAACCGATTTTGACTTAATAATCACAAAATATTAAAAACTCCGTTGGTAACTCTGTTGATAACTCAATTAAAAACTCTGATGATTCTTGCAATATAATTACAAATGATAGGGAATCGTGTTTTACTTTTATATCGTTTTGATCTTTTATAAAAGACTATTAAAATAGCCCATCAACATTAATTTTAAACTCGACTGATAAATTAATACAAATCTGACAATGTACAGTTTATGATAACTATAAAATATGCACTTCCGAGGGTTGTTGTTTAATTAATTGAACTCGTTACCCCGTTAGCACTATTAACCCTATTAAAGTTGAATGCTGCGCCCATGTTTTGGGTTATATGTGTTTGTGAATGAACTTTATTTAAAAACAAGCCGTTGAAAAGTTTGATTGAAGTTTTTTGTTATTCGAAGACTATTGTTGCTCCGTCGAATAACAACTGTGCGCTGGTCTCGTTTTGAACAATATATTTGCAATAAGTTCTTGTACGTTTGTAATAGATAGATAGATAGATAGAAACTTTATTTCAATTCGGATTTAAGTTAGCAAAAATATGCTAGTATCTCCGAAGATAATTAACAAATTACTATATAAAAAATATGTTACAAATTGTCCCTATATCATGCTAGTGTTAATTTAATATCAGTAAGATGAGTAAAATAACTAGAAAAAACCCATTGTATTTTCCGAACATGAAGTATCAAGAGCAGTTGTCATGGTAACACGATAATTTTTTAAGAATATTCTTAAAAATCGCCTAAAAATATCACTTTTAATTACAAAATTATCAATTTCCCAACATATATATGTTAGATATGTTATTATACGTAATATAAGCTTCAATTTAAGGTAAAATTCAAGCACAAACGCTTCGCAAAACGTTTTAAAGTGTTCTTTATAAAACTAAACAGCCTTTAATTAAATGGCTTTATCGATAAACTTTGAGTTTGCAATAAAATGATTTCAAATTCTCGCTTGCAAATAACTTTGCTTTCTTTTCTATTGAAAAAATTTTAAAAAAAGGGAATCAATATTAAAGATACACTGAAATTATATGCTGTCTTGTTTAGTTGTTTCATATACGCAAAGCCGTCGAGTTTTAAACCATTATAAAATCAATATTTAAAACAAACTTACCTTCGTTAACGTCGGCTCCGTTCTTTTAGCCGATTCTTTCGCCCTTTCTTTATGAGAAAACTTTTGAAATTTACAAAATCTTGCAAAAATGCGAGCAAAAAATTCATCAATCATCAAATCAAGAAATGTTTGCTATTTCGCTGTCGTCATGCAGTCGTTATAATGCAAACTTTAAATTGGACCAATCAGTGTCCGCTATTCATGACAGTCCGCCATATTTTTGAGATCAGTGAGGATGACCACCCATCGTTGGTCACCCACGCCCGCGATATTTGATGAACTTTAGACTTCCCTAATGCTTTCGTTTCCCCAGGTGTAAATAGCCGGAGGGAATTAGTACCCTCGCACGGCGCTTCGCGCCGTCGGCTCGGGGATAAAATTAAAGATTGAAATAAGATAAATTAATTATTTTGAGAAAGTCGTTTTACGAATAGCAGTTTTAAAAACATTCAAGTTTTTAGCTGTTCTTTCAATATCTGATAAACTGTTCCATTATTTTGGTGCACAATTTCTGAAGGAATTCAGACCATACTTTGTGGTTCGTACTTTGGGCAGTTTTAGTTCACGTACTCCACGTAATATATTTGCAATTTCCATAGATTTTTTGTTAACCCTTGATCAGTCTATATTTTATTCGTCTCTTCTTTCTACAGATCATGCATTCCTGTTTTAAGTGTTTAATGCTTGAGAAAAATTAATTTTAACCAATCACGTTCCCTTTCGCCTAGATTTACGTTTGATTAAGATTTAAGTAATGTATAATATAATTTCACTTCTGGCATGCTCGAGAAATTTCGTAATATATCATCAGTGTTTTAACATTTCCCCCTTTCGGATTCGAATTGAATTAATAAGAATCCGCTATAAATTATATATACTTAACGTTCTGTTCATCATCATGAGCTTCCAATGGTGGGATTCGCATTATAGGTCTTCGTAGGATTTTGTCGCCTTGTCTAACGTCCACTACTCTTACTAAACCATCTTTTCCAGGGCAGGTTGCTTCTATCTCCCTAGTCCCCCATCTCGTCGCGCTGACTGTGGGTCAATAACGAGTACTACGCAGTGAACTGTAATAACACTGGAACAACAGGTGGGCAATTTGTCGACGCTGAGAAAAAATAGCGGCTCATTTCTTCTCGAGTTGCCATTTTCGCATCGAAGAGCAAAAGTATAGACTTCCGGAGAATATTTTAGCTGTTTACTATCAAATATGTTTGTGAAACAGTTGATAATCTTACTGAGGAAGGCCAACGGTTTCTGAAAAGCTAAAGTACGTCGAAATCAGCTTTGGAATAGACTATATTTTCACCGGGGAAACATGAACAAAATGGATATTTACATCAACACTAAATTTCACTCGTGCCTACAGAGCTAGTTGGATTAAAACAGATGTTAAGACGTAAGTGAAAATGTGAACTTTGTGAATTATACTTTCATTAAAATGTTTCAGAAGGTCTGCTAATGTCAAACTACCAGTGTGACAGAGCTGCCAGTATACCCACATTTCAATGTTTATGTTGAAATGACCTATCTTCTTTGAGGTATAGCTTAACATTTAGGGTATGCTCATCACTTGAAACTAGCTTTAAATCAAATTTTTATCTATAGTCTTTATATTAGAATTAAAATCATTCGTGGGAAAAATGTGCCAAAGGGTTGAAATTGCCCTTGTAAATGAACACTGTTTTTGATATGTTTGGGTTAGTATTTTGAAAAGGTGTTCTGGAAGCAAAATATGTCTTGAACAATATTGGTTGACCCTTAAATTATAACTAGTGTTATGTAAATCATAGAAAATTGAAAAAAGTCTGGTCCATACGCAATAGTTTGGATTCTATGAGGTCCCGAATGCGGCTTATTTCAATGTTTAATCTGTTTACCTGGAAAAACAATAGAAAATTGAATAAGTCAAGAATTTGACTATGCTCATCACCCAAAACCAGGTTTTTCTAATTGCTTTTTCACCTGGGTTTGTTGCAATACCAGTTATGCGACCACGAAAAATGCGCGAGGCACTTTTTTTGGACACTGAAGATGACAACATTTGATGTTGTTATATATTGCCATCCTCTTATCATAGTATAACTTAACTTATTTTAGTTAGTTTGTTAAAGAATTGTGCTCACTATATGCCTGTAGAATCTAAAATTTTTTTCATAGCATTAGATGATAAATTTAAGTTCTGTTTTCTTTTATTTTTAGGTGATAGTATCTGTTCGCATGTGTGTTGGTATCAAATTTTGCACAAGATTTGATTATTATTTCACATTCCTTTATTGAAATATCCAAATAAATGGAATGTGACATCAAGCTGGAGAACTAAATACTGTTTCCAAACTTGTTTTTGTAAAAATAGAATAAGTAAATTTGTAAAAAGCAATAAAATAAAGCAAAAGTATTCATTTTCAATGTAAAACCTTTGGAATGCATAGATTAATGTTTTCCACTAAATATTACAAAGTTTTCGTTCATTAAAATGTTGTTTTATCAGCTTTAAAACCAGATAAATTCACGAAACACTCCCAATATATGTCGCCATATTGGTTTTCTTCGCGCATGCTCAGACAAATTGCCCACCTGTTGCCCATACTTGCCTGCAGCCAAGATGGCGCTTCTCGCGTGCTCAGCGAGCAATAAATTAACCTTCAAAAGGACTGGGGAGAGTTTCGAGGAGCGGGAAATTCAGTCAAAAGTTTGTTTTTGAGTGTTTTGTTGTTTATCAAAAAGTCAACTTTAAAGATAAAAACCTGGTTTCCTGGATAGTTCTAAGTATTTTACACCAACTAACAGCAAAAACTTCCTAGGTAACAGCTTGATATTCAAAATATTACACAAGTTTGAACGTGCCGAAAAAAACTTCGCTTCATGACTTCTAAAAAGAACTTTATAACTGCTCTACGTTCTGGAAACATGTTTTGTATTAAGTTTCAGGTATTGTTGACAGTTTTTAGCTTTTTTCCTTGTTGAAATACATCTATTTAGTGGTCGAAACAGACATCTTTTAAGTGGCGTATTTTCCACTCCATACGTACATGGCGGCCATCATGAGTGGCTTCAAAGATGGCCGCCAAGTTATCGTTCAAGTTCTCCTCGAGTTCACTGGTACTACGTCGTTCTTCTTGAGGTTCTCTGTAGGAAGAAACCATTTCTGCCGACTTCCTACATGAGGTAAATATTATTTCATGCATCGTTGCCAAACTCGTCGTGTCAGCTCTTGTACTTGGCGCCACCGTTTTCGCAGATTATAGCTCGTTTCGTCGATACTTTCTGGAGCGAGTTCTCCTCCCATTTGGCCGATTAGAAAATGGTTAGGCGTCAAAACTGTTTCATCAATGGGATCGTCAATTGGTTTCGTTAGTTGTCTCGAGTTCATTAGGCTTTCGACACTAGTAATTACTGTTTGAAGTTTTTCGTCGTTTACTTCCGCGTTTCCGATTATTGCCGCCATTGCTCTTTTCACTGACTAGCTTGATCATGCTTTCGAAAACGCCACCAAAATGTGGACCCGCCGGTGGATTCCAATGCCACTTCACGCCTTCGTTAGCAGTCATGCGTTTGGTTTTCTCAATTCTCATGATCTAGGTTTTCTACCAAACTTTGAATTAATTTCGCAGCTCTTACGAAATTCGTTCCGTTGTCACTCAACGTGTCTCTTGGCCAGCCTCGTCTTGCTACCATTCGAACAAATGCATTCATGAATCTATCCGTTTCAAGCGATGTCGCCATCTCCAAATGACAACAATGTGTTTGTAAACACAGAAACAGACATAGATACCGTTTTTGACGCGACTTCCTCGTCCTTGCTCCTCGTCATGTTCTGTACCATTTCGAATACCTTGCTGGGTCTAAACCACTGATCTGAAATAAGACTGGATAACGCATCTATAGTATACAAAAGTGAAGCCGGAAGTCACCGGCCGCCACCCGATTCTGGCGCCCCACTTTTGTATAGATTTGTATTACAGACGGTAGTTTTTCTCGTTTTTTGCCTTGGCTACGTTTCCGATCGGGCCAATTTTACAATCACAACGATAGAAGCATACAAGGAGAATTTTGAGCAAAAAATTTGGAGTATTATGGCTTTATAACGCCGCGAAACGGGATTTACAACTCTGAAGGAGTGGAGAGCCTCAGACTTTGTTCATCAACACGAGCTCGTTTTGCTACTTTCATACAAAATCAACTCAAAATATACAAGAATTATTGTTACTGGACGAATATTCTCACGAAATTTAAAGAAATGAAGCAGCTACATTGTGAACGAAAGCGTACTACAGAGGTTAGACTTTGTTTATCAACACGAGCTCGTTTGCTATTTCATACAAAATCAACTTAAAATATACAAGAATTACTGTTTACTGGACGAATATTCTCAGGAAACTTGAAGAAATGAAGCAGCTCTGAGGTTAGTTTTAAAATACCTTGAGGCTACTTTTATATTAAATTATACGAATTTAATAAGGAACAGTTTTAAATGTCAATTTTGTCAAAAGCATTCCTAGGCGACTTGTCGAGAAGTTTTTTATGTTTTAAAGTAGGAAGACAAGTGACAATGAAATATTTTTAATCCAAATTATAAACAACGACTCAATATGTTATTTTAATTCATATAATTATGGAAGTAGCCTCAAGGTATTTTAAACTAACCTCTGTACGCTTTCGTTCACAATGTAGCTGCTTCATTTCTTCAAATTTCGTGAGAATATCCGTCCAGTAACAATAATTCTTGTATATTTTGAGTTGATTTTGTATGAAAGTAGCAAAACGAGCTCGTGTTGATAAACAAAGTCTGAGGCTCTCCACTCCTTCAGAGTTGTAAATCCTGTTTCGCGGCGTTATAAAGCCATAATACTCCAAATTTTTTGCTCAAAATTCTCCTTGTATGCTTATATCGTTGTGATTGTAAAATTGGCCCGATCGGAAACGTAGCCAAGGCAAAAAACGCGAAAAACTACCGTCTGTAATACAAATCTATACAAAAGTGGGGCCCCAGAATCGGGTGGCGGCCGGTGACTTCCGGCTTCACTTTTGTATACTATAGATGCGTTATCCAGTCTTACTTCAGATCAGTGGTCTAAACGCCATGTAGCTTTCGTTTGCGTTTGTGCTGATTGATCGTACAAGGTGGACTTCCCTTTCGTCTTTGGTTCGGTTTTAACTTCCTCTCGTGCTGTTAACGAGGGACTACCGAACTTTCTTTCCGGCCATTCTTTCTCTGGTTTTCCTAGTAATTCATATCCTTGCCACCAACATTCGTCGTTCTTCAATTCTTTCACTGTTAAGCCACGAGTTCCTCGGTCTGCTTGATTCACTTTCGTAGGTACATATCGCCTTTGTTCAGGATTGGTATTCTCGTGAATTTTCGCTACGCGATGGGCAACAAACGTCTTGTATTGTCGACTGTGACCTCTTATCCAATAACCAACATTAAGACTATCAACCCAGTAGGTTGATCTTTCCACTTCGATTTCCATCGAGTCGGACACTTGCAATTGTTTGGTTTGTCCTACCCCGATTAACGCGCCCATGAGTTCCAAACGTGGAATGCTCATAGTCTTAAGAGGAGCAAATCTGGTTTTGGAGGTGATCAATACGAATATGAAGATGGGTTCGTCATCCCATATGCTATGGTTTCAAGCCATGCTTGTTATATCAGTAATTTTGCTCGGATGATAAATGGTGATATCAAACTCAATGGATCAAATACCGTGGCTGTTTTCTTCGGGACGTTTCTCATTGTAAACTTAAACTGACTTAATGGCGAGGAATAAACAAAGAAAAACGTGTCGTGTTTTGTTGACCAGAGGACTCCCAAAGCCTTCGTTGTTGGAAATTAGTTCTTTTTCAGTAATATCTTCCATGACAGTTTCATTCAGTAATGTCTTCCATGACAAAGACATGTGAGCTGTCTTTGATCTTGTACTCAGGAGTGGTAATTATACATCCCACGAACAAATTACTGGTAAATGATATGATAGATTATAGAGTTATCGCTTTCGACGTAACACCATTTAATTAAAGGTAAGTGTTGTTTTTTTACGAAAATATGATCAATAGTTGACAGAGTTGAGTCTTGATTACTGTGGAATGTCTCAATTGGCCCATTACACAATTCTTGAGAGTTGACCGACATGAATTGAAACTGATCAAGTAAAGAACTCAGGATATGTCCTCTGTTATTCACCTCCTTGAAACTTCCGGGATCACCGTGATTACCAATGTGGGCGTTAAAGTCTCCCGCCAGAACAACTGCCCCCAGAGATTTAAAATGGGCAATACTGTCTTCCAGGGTGTTAATATAGTCCCTATATGAAGATGTGGAGTCATTTGTTGAGGTACTAGGTATGTTCCAAGGACAAATAGTGCTTTCTGATTAGAAAGCTTGACTTTGATTGCAATCATTCTGTCGTTGCCAATATTCTCTAACGGGACGAAACTGAGTAATAGGCCTTAATTTACGCAAGAGTATAGCAACTCCACCTTTTCCGCGACGATATAAGGAATGTGGTTCAAGTTCGCTATAACACCTGCATGAGATATAAAGTCTTCATTAATAGAGTTTAAAAATGACAATGAATCAGGGAATAACCAGTGCTCAGTTAGGATACAAATGTCCGATTTCTTGAGACAATTATCTAAATACTTGACATTATAAAAAATGCTACCAGCATTCCACGTGCAAACTCTAATGTCTGCTGTCAGCCGTCTGTCGTAAGTTGTGATCTCCTCCATTACACGAGTGTTGAGTTGTTTCCAGCTTAGGTTATTGTGGTTTCTTGCTCGGAGCACTATTTGATTTCCATGGCTTGCACTCGACAAACTTTGGCCAGAAATTGTCTTCGGACACAATTGGACAATCCTTAGAAGAAATGTTGATCTTTGCAGAAAGTGTCCCCTTGCGTCGGCTTTGAAAGATCCGAACATGAGTGGGTGTTGCATTTCTTTTCTTCAGATATGAAAATACTTGACATTTTCTGCAAGTCCAGCAAGAAAGAAATTTGATTTTGTCACGCCTACGCTCCACTGCAATGAATTCATAGCTAGCGCTGATTCATTTTTACTTTCGTGAGTTGCTTTCTTATTCCATGCTTCACTTCTTTTAGACATTGAACTAGAAGCTGGCTGGTGTTCCACTGCTTCTGCATAACTTGGCTTCTGTTGTCTGGCGCCTTGTTTACTATTGTTGTTGCTTGTACAGATTTGGTCACACTGAGTTTTTCATTTAAAGGTGTCGTAGATGTTGGTTGATCTTCAATCTTCGTCATATCGTTTGAGCAAGATGGTTGTTCCTCGGTATTGATCACCACTACTACATTACTTTCACCAGAATGGTTCGTTGGGACTGTATAGTGCTGCTAATCTTTTCACAAACTATATATAAGTCCTCAGTAAGTCCCGGGGAATTCTCAATTTCTTGCATGTCTACGTTTACAAGGTCACAGTAAGAAGTTGTACGTGATTCTGTTCTTTCCTTTTGAATAGAATGGGGAAATACTGAACTAAGAATGATAAAACTACTTACAAGATATAATACTACTTATATACTAAATAGAGAATAATACATGAGTGCGCGGAAATACCAGATTTATTTCGAGTGTAGAACATGATATCTCACGAGTGAGCGCAGCGAACGAGTGAGATTTAATGTTCAACACGAGAAATAAATCTGGTATTTCCAAGCACCCATGTATTTTTCTGTTTAGCCTATTATATAAAGAACAGTCTTTGAAAAGCGATAATTTTTACAGAAAAGCGATAATTCTCACATGTGAGATTATCATAAATAATCTCACATGTGAGAATTATCACTTTTATCATCAGTGCTCGAAATCTCTATAAAGCACTATACTTTATATAGTAATACAGGATAATCCATGTTAAGAACTACTGTACGATTTCAATGCGTAATATACGTAATAAAATTATTTCGAAGTGTTATGTCTTAAATGTTACATTAAACCTCCGGTTGCTTTTCAGAATGATATCAAAGTTATTACAACTTATCACTTATAACTACCATATTACTTGGGTGATGTTACTCTGAGTGTATATCCACACCGGGCAAGCTTGAAAAATATGCCTGGCCACGGTGGGATTCGAACGTATACGAAGAACCTATTGGGCTAGTATTCCAAGGTCGTAGGTTTGAATCCCACCGTGGCCAGGCATATTTTTCAAGCCTGCCCGGTGTGTATATACACTCAGAGTATCAGAGTAACATCACACAAGCATCTTATTCACATGAGTACATTACACCAATACAGCAAATATCATGATTATTAGATTACACTGATATCGAAGGAACTAGACTCAGTTCCGAAATATCGCATACTCGAACCGACCTGACCGCGTAGCTCAGTAGTTGGCAGAGCATTGGGCTAGTATTCCAAGGTCGTAGATTCGAATCTCATCCTGGCCAGTGTGGATATACACTCAGAGTAACATCACACAAGCATCACTTATTCACCTGAGTACATTACATCAACACGTACAGCAAATACCATATTACTACTTATATAGAAATACAGGATAACCATTAAGAACTACGATTCCAATGCGTTATGCGTAATAAAACTATTTCGATAGCGTCCTGTCTTAAAGTGCCTATGGCACGAAATTTCACCCCAAATGTTTATGATTGCATTGTAAAGATCACTGAAAATGACTTAATAATTTCTTTTATAGAAGTTTGGTAACTTGCTTCCTTTGCAAGATATTCAACTTTGTTTCATATGCAAATATCACCGGTGTGACATCACATCGCATAATGACATTTTGAAAACGCAATATTTTACCTTAATAAAATATTTTTACAAACAAATACAGAGGGTTAGTTACCAGTTATGAAATTAATACATATACAAGGGCAATTTTTAAGTATTTTAGATACGTATTCGTTAAGAAAACTATACTTTTCTGAAAACTCATTATGCAATGTGATGTCACACCGGTGATATTTGCATATGAAACAAAGTTGAATATCTTGAAAAGGGAGCAAGTTACCAAAATTCTATAAAAGAAATTCTATTTAATTAAGCGATCTTTACAATGCAACCATAAACCTTTGGGGTGAAATTTCGTGTCATTGGTACTTCAAACGGTCTCGTTAAACCTACGCTTGTTTCTCAGAATGGTGTCAAAGGAGGAATTCGTATTACACGGAGGGAGTAATTTATGTAATTTATGATCCTTATTAGACATTATGCCCCGAAACAGATTTTCTTTAATTAATAAGTACTTGTCTTCTGGCATAAAGAGGTTGTAATTCTGCAATAGACAGAGCCTCATGCATCACTGTAGGACGTACCGCTTTCTGAAAAAGTATCAATTTCCCGTTTGTAACACAAAATGACTGAAAATTGCAAATTTCGCAAGGCTATATTATCCGCATTTTACAACATTTCGCAACGATACTTCAGAATATTACTAATTTTGTGATGCTCTTTCAAGCTGTGATGGAATTTTTGTCCAGACTTGTCTAGATCAAAAATTTGTTCATTAGCCAATATGTCCATTTCTAACTCATTGGAGAGATAGTTGGTTAATCTGTTATCAAATGCCGGGCACGCATATTCTGTGATTGGTCTGATACAGGTAATGTAGACCTGGAGCAGCTCTTTGGTGCCTACATTAGATCTCTTAAATTGGGCCAAACAATGCAGTCTTTTTCGAGCTTTTTTTACAATCTGCAGAACATGTTCATTCATTTCAAATCATCAGAAAGAGTCAAGTTATTTATTTTCATTGGCTCAAACTGGTTTGTTAACTTACTAAATCCTATCCGCAATTCTTTGCATTTTGCCTTGTTCATTTGGAATTTATTGGCTACTGACAGATTAATTAGATCGTCTTTCGCCATGGACGTGTCATCAACGTATCTCCACAACTTTGAGGTGGGAATATCCAGGTCATTGACAATAACAACAAACAACCACGGACCCAACTTAGTTCCTTCGGGTACTCCAGCTGGTACCAACTCCCACTCTGAATAACAGTCTACACTTAACTTTACTCGCGGTTTCCTGCATGTTAAAAAGTCGGTAATCCACTCCAACGTCCATTGAGGGATATCATATGTCGCTCATTTGTTAAGGAGTAACCTATGGTCAATAAGGTCAAATGCCTTTCTGTAGTCGCATAAAATAACTCTGATTGTTGTACCATTGCCGTCTGTTGAGGCATTTAAGAAGTGTAGCATGTTTATAAGAGCTTGAGTAGTACTTGATCTAGGCGCTGTGCCGTATTGATTAGGATCTACTTTCTTCAGGAACGCTGGTTTAACAAAGAGGTTGGCAACATAATCTTCTTCAACTTCGACACGATTGGTGTCAAGGAAATTGGACGTAGATCTTTATTAACCTCTCGCAACGGTTTTGCTTTCGATATTGGAATAATATTTGCGAATTTCCATGAAGACGGAAGTCGACCTTTATTGTAAGAAGTGTTAATTATGTCAGCTACGCTGGTAGCTAAGAAATCATCGTTTTCTTTATTCCAGTTTGGAATTTCGTCTGGTCCACCAGCTTTACTTTCATTCAGTGCGGTCATTTTTTTAAGGACGGAAAATTCCGAAACACAGAACCCCTCTGACCTCCCATCCGCATCTGCTTTCCAGTTGCTGGGCAACAACGAATTGAAATCTGGCATAGGCCTAAGGAACGCTTGATTTATTTCATTGGTCAGTACTTCTAGGCTGGGGGAAATTGAGAATGAGTTATGTTCAATATTACTTAACAGGGCAACAGTATTTTCACGCCTACTGACTTGTTCAGACATACCACACAATCTCTTGATTTCTTTCTTGCAGGAACACAGCTTCTTAGCTGTTTAACCTTTGCATCATAGTATTTAGCGCGTAGCCTATTTCTTTCACGATTTACTTGGTTTCTTAAACTACGGAATGTTATATGGTCTCCTTGAGTAAAAACTTTTTGACGACTACGGATTAGCTGTTTTAAAGATAGGGACATCCAAGGTGGTTCGTTCGTTATAATGATGTTTTTCTTAATTGATGCGATGCGTCCAAATCAGCATTGATGATCAGTTATAGAGTTTTGACTTTGTCGTTACATGACATTTGGATTTAACTAGCTCTTCAACGTTCACTTTGTCCAGGTTAACTGTCCTTTCGTCTAGGTTAGCTGTCCCGACGCTCAAGCACTGCTCATTATGCACATAGCCTTATCATTGACGGGGAGCGGAACAGGAGAATCTTACAACTTTTAATACATTTTTCAGGGCTAGCTTTCTTCTATTCCCAAATATTTTTATGGCCCACTCCCAAGGGCACTGTTTATTTTTATAGCCGCCCCTCCAACCCCTCATGTGCAAGGTATATCAACGACTGCACTTCAAATTTTTCGTCGCCCACCTCCTCTTGTCACGATTTTTTTGCCAGCAACCCCCCCCCCCCTCATTAGAAATTGCATTGTCCACTTTAAATATCTGCCGCCCCACCCCCTGTTGCGAATTGGGTAGCAAAGATATAAACATTAAGCGTTAGTCAAATTTGTCTATTAATTGTTGTGAATAATAAGAATAACAAACCTGGCAGTTCAACCCCTAGCCTACATGGCAGGCGGTTCCTAAAATTGGGTAAGCCTTGGAAATACCGCCTGCACCAGTGGACGGGAATTGATGATTGGCTGCGAGTCTGAGCCGCTGTCACTCTAAAGTGAATACACTTTAATATGTAAACATACGTTTAACACTTTAATGATACATGCGTTCGCTTTAATTAATAGCTGTTCAACGCGAACTGATTGTCAAACGCGAGCAAGAGATTGCAGTTAAAGATTTATTCCTTGGAAACAATGTTTTGGCCGTTCTATGGGAAAAGTTTGATTTTTGCATAGTTCTTGTTGGCGCGAAAAAATATAACGAGAAGAGATACAGACGGCCGTATAGTCTTTCTTGCAACGGGTTTTATAACAGGACTATTACGCCTAGGCCTATTAGCCGCTTCACTTTCTGAACTTTTTAAGGCATTCGTTAATCGTTACCACACGGCTTCCGGTTAGGGAGACGAGACAGTTCATATTGGCAACTGAGGTTTTTAATTAATATACAACTGTCTATTTGTTCGAACATACACAGGCAACACGTTTACGTCTCGTTTGATTATGGCAATCAGTTCGCTTGCATTTCGGATATTTCGCTCACACGGTTTACAAACTCGGTCGGATAGTTCCAAGGTAGAATTAACTTCGATTCCTAAATGAACTGAACCGGCAATTCGGCTTATTTCGGCCAAGGTTTTGCCACTGTCGTAACGTTTCTTTTGCTTACCTTAAATAAATCATTTCTCCGACGATATATAAGATAATAAGAATATAAGATATTTTCTCTATTGCACCGTATTTTAGTTTCAAAGCACAGTTAATACACAAACGACAAGTCATTTACATTTTCCGCGCTTGCTTTTCTACCTCTTGTCCGACTTGTCGTTATTCAGAGGTCCTGATTGAAACTTTCAATGGCGTGTCTTTCGACATATTTTTATACATTTGCAAACCAAACAATGACATAGTTTGACAGTTTGATTATTAATATATTTAGTGTTTGCTGATTGGCTAATTGGACCCGGACAAAAAAGTGGGTGGTTATCAAATTACACTGCCAAACCCAGCAGGCGGTATTTTAGACCGCCTGGCATGTAGGCTATTCAACCCCCAAAGCTGGTAGCATACCCCCCGATGATAGATATTAATTAAAGAAATAATTTGTTTGATACTCGAGCTCCTGTACCTTCTAGAAGATTCTTCATCAAATGCGGCTAATATTTGCCTCGCTGTTTTAAAAGCTGTTTCATGACTTATATACTCCTAAAGGCAAAAGCATATTAGACCTATACTATAACAGTATATGTTATATGTTTTATATATTATTTTACTAAAGTTTACTATATTAGTTTACTACTGGATTTCAGTGTGTTGGCTCTCATTGGTTGCTATGCTTGGAACGCAGGTGATTATTGTTGTTGTGAGTCGGTGTATGTCATAGATATCTTATATACACTAGATAGCGCATCTATTTTAGTAAAATTGAAGCCAAGAATATTCCAGCGGTTACCCCCATTTGAATAGATGGCGACCATGTTGGTCGTTCCCACTTCCTAATAAACGCTTAAAAACAACAATAACTTTCATCATTTGAATAGTTTAAAAACGTATTTGGAAAAAGGTTAACTTCATGTTTAAGTTCCGTGTTTAAGAAATACAAAATATACGAATCTTCACATTTCATGGGAACGACCTGAGACTCCAATCACGGCTTCAATTTTTGAATTGCAGAATAATTAGAGGCACTATCTAGTGTATATAATATATCTATGGTGTATGTAAGGCAGTTGAGGGTGGGTTAATTATTAATAAAAATTAATCATGAGATTTGTGCAATCATTTTAGTGGTAATTAAATATTTGATTGTCCAAATTCCAAACTATGCCACGCTTCTTTAATAACCTTATAGCATGATTTGTCGTAACCTGAGTATCAGGCCGTACTTTTTAGGGCACAGGCACGCCTGATCGTGGGCGAAGGGGAGAAAAGTACGGCCTGACACAAAAGTGGCATTTTGCCTGGTTGTTCAGTCCAGAATCTGGACTGAGCGCTGATTGGCCGATTAGACAAACGATTTTTAAATCCGTCATTTGATTGGCTGGTGCTAATTAGATTATACTATTGTTGTTGATATATTTTATAACGATCACAATTCACAACTACAATTATAGCCGGCCCACTAAACGGCTGAATTTAAATTAAAACTGCAGTAAAATTAGAAAATAATCGCAAATTAGCGAAATATATTGCAAATGTAGCTTATATTAAATCGCCATCAGATTGCACTATCGACTGACGTATAGTTATAAAGTATACTTTATAATTATACGTCAGTTTGTTGATAAATACGGCAAGCGCCATGTAAGACATGTAAAGCTCATTGTAGTCACTGAAACCTCTGCGGAGGAGAGAGCAATCGGGTGGCGATTTAATATAAGCTACATTTGCAATATATTTCGCTAATTTGTGATTATTTTTGTTAATTTTATAAGTTCATTGCAGTTTTAATTTAAATTCAGCCGTTTAGTGAGCTGCCTATGCTATAATTAGATTGTTGTTGTCGTTGTGTGAAATTTAAATTTCTCCTGCGACATTTTGATTGGATACTAAATATAAACTTTGCTGTGGGCGGAAAGCGATCAGGTTAAGTTTTGTGTCAGGCTCTATTTGTAAAATAGAGCCTGATACTCAGGTTAGATTTGTCGTAGCTTTTCCTGCATGAACATCTCGTTTGACTAACCAGTCTAATATATGTCCGCTGTCATCTGTGTGCCTGTAGCTGAGAGTAACTTATGGTCGTGTCTGTTGATTGCGTTTCAGTTGGTGTTCTTGTGTTAGTTTTGTTAGAATCCCTTTAGGTGCTTGTCCAATGTACTTTTCAGGACAGTTTTTGCAAGGAAACATACAAATGGCGTCATGCTTTCTATTATATGTGACTTGTTTTTATGTCTGTTGGTCCAAAGTTTGCATGTCGGTTTGTGTGCAACGTCAATGATTTAATAGAATACAAATGGTCAGAAGAAGATGTATACGCCCGTACTTGAAATTATTGAGTGTTTGACAAATTTGTCCGACAAAAAATTTCCGGTAACACTTTATGTATTATTTTGTCTAGGAATTCCAATTTATGATGATTGTGTTGCCTATCACGAAAACAGATGGTAAGTATACTGTAGCTTTTCTTTATTGAATTTTATTAACTCCGTTCTTTACACGAACCGCATACGGTCGTCTACGTTGGTGCATGTATACATAAATGTAGGTAATAGTATTGTATACAGCGTGTATCAAAAAAACCTGAACAGATATGAATTTGCTCTCAATTTTGCAAAACAGCCATTAGTATCCAGTTTTTGATGTATATAGCTTCCTTGGGTACCTATAATGTAGAATAATGAAAAAATTTTCTCGAACTCAGATTTTGTAAAAATGGTTTGCGCACGAAAAATTAAAAATGGTTTGCGCACGAAATTTAAAAGCTTTAATCATATTTTGAGTCAATAGATGAACATTTGTTGTGTTTTTAATTACTGTACAAAATTTCAGACAATTTGCTTTAGTTTTAGCCCTTTGAATATTCATTTTATCCTAAAAAATCAGCCTTTCGCATGCTTAATTAATGTATTTACTTAATTTGCATATTGCTGACATATGCAAATTAGGCAAAGGTATTAATTAATTAAGCATGCAAATAGCTGATATTTAGAAAAAATGTAAGTTTGCGCGAATAATTAACGGGCTTAAACTAAAGCAAATTGTCTGAAATTTTGTACAGTAATTAAAAGCCCAACAAATCTTTCATCTGTTAACTCAAAATATGATTAAAGCTTTTAAATTTAGTGCGCACGCCATTTTTAGTCTGTTGGATAACACCCCTCCTGGATCACAAAATTTGAGTTCAAGAATTTTTTTTCATTATTCTACATTAATTATACGTACCCAAAGAAGCTATATACATCAAAAACTGGATACTAATAGCTGTTTTGCGAAATTGAGAGCAATTTCAAATTTGTTCAGTTTTTTTTTATACACCTAGTAGAGTCCAATTCGGGAAAAAACATGCACGAATTAGTTTTTACCAAATTCGGACAAGTCTGACAGACGAATGAATTTTGGCGAACTTTGAAAACTAACGATCGTATGTTCTTCCAAATTGCGCGAGAAGCCCTACTATTACTGACGAAGAAACTACACACATGCTTCGATAACATCTCTGAACACGCTTGTGTCCTTTAACAGTTGTTTGTTAGCAAGCAGTTCAGTCTTTATTTGATCCTTGCACTTAAATTGTTATATTCAACGACAAAAAATTGTAGAATCAAGGAATTCTAAGCATTACTAGCCAAAAATGCGTTAATCAAGATGCCTTAAAAGTATAAATAATAAAGCATCAGCTTTATATATTTCGGCAATACATAAACTTCATGCTCAACCTCATTCTACAGGGTGTATAAAAAAAACTGAGCACATTTGAAATTGCTCTCAATTTCGCAAATTTAACAGCTACTAGTATCTAGTTTTTGATATGCATAGCTTCTTTGGTACATGTAATGTGGGATAATAAAAAATTCTCGAACTCAAATTTTGTAAACCAGAGGGGTGTGTCTTTTGCAACACACTAAAAATGGCATCTCACGAGATTTAAATGCCTTAAGGAGGCTTGCTACAGTTTCCAATAGATCTCAGTGTTTTAAACTCCAACCTATTTAATTAATTTGAATTTAATGAAAACTAATTTTTTGCACAAGCTATTGTTTCCTCTTATATAAAAGAGTAATTTTAACCCACAATCGCTACTCTTCACGTTACCATGACAACATGATGTCACCACCTACATGGCCTATATCAACGAAAAAAAACGTCTTAGCGGACAAATAACAACGGTAACCTACCTTTTTTATTGCAGAAAATACATTGTTATGAAGTTTGAATCTTTTTTGAAAGTTATTTGAAACTCGCCAGTGTAGTTTTCGAGAAACTGAATTTCAGCTTTTAAGATTGCATTTTAGCCTTTGGAAAGGCTGAAATTCAGTTTCTCAAAAACTACACTGGCGATTTTCAAATAACTTTAAAAAAAGATTCAAAACTTCATAACAATGTATTTTCTGCAATAAAAAAGGTAGGTTACGTGGTTATTTGTCCGCTAAGACGGTTGTTTTGCGGATATAAGCCATACAGGTGGTGACGTCATGTTGTCATGGTAACGTGAAGAGTAGCGATTTGGGTTAGAATTACTCTTTTATATAAGAGAAACCAGTGGCTCGTGCAAAAATTTAGTTTTTCTATATTCAAATTAATTAAATAGGTTTTAGTTTAAATCACTAAAATATATTGGAAACTGTAGGGAGCCTCCTTAATGGTATCTTGAGTTAATGATGAACAAAATAAAATAATGATTAAAATAATAGCTGCACGAAATTTCAGACAATTTACTTCAGTTCAAGCCATTTAACTATTCACGCAAACTTACATTTTTCCTAAAAAATTAGCCTTTTGCATACTTAGTTAATGCCTTTGCCTAATTTGCATATGTCAGCAATATGCAAATTAGGTAAAGCTATAGGCTTAAATTAAGCATACAAAAGGCTGATATATTTTCTAGGAAAAATGAATAGCTAAAGGTATTAAACTGAAGCAAACTGTCTGAAATTTTGCACAGATTACAGAATTTTTGTACAGATTCTTTACGGACTACGGTGCTTTAATTAATAACAACTCAACGATTGTTTGTACAACTGTATTGATTGATCGAGCGTTTTTCGCTGGCATAGTCACCAATTTAAGCACAGGAGGCCCAGGCTCGATTTGTCCGCGCCCGCCTGTGCCTTCCTTATAATGAGGGAAGGACGGAGACATTGAGACCAAAATAGCCCAGACTTGGCAAATGTCACCCGAAACTATCCTCGATTTTTCGCTTTTAAATTAATGCATTTCTTTCACGATTAATCGATATCCCCTGCAAGAATGATACCGTATAACTCTCAAAACAACGACGAATGACACTTGCCAGAGCAATTTGCGTGGCGCGTGGAAATGACGTGCACGGGGACACAAAGAACAAAGGAATCGCCGCGAGTTCCGCCTCTGTATAGTCTGTGACGAGGACTAGCTGGATCAACCATCAAACTTGCTTGTGCAGGGAATTTATACAGTAATATCTGCTCTTTCGCTTGTGGGACGTGAAATGATATACTGCGCATGCTTAACCACATTTTAAAGTGTATTAATGCGCATGTTACACCTAGTTATTTCGTCCTACAACTGCAACGACCTCTCATTGAATTGATATAGCTTGAATTTTTAATGAAGAAAACCTCCAAAATACAAAAGAATATAGTCTGATGAGTGTATAAACAAGTTAAAAGCCGCGGATATCGGTTTTTATTAAACTGTAAAGACCTCGGGCCTTCGGCCCTCGAGAGTTTAATAAAAACCTCTCCCTTGGCTTTTAACCTACATTTAATCTAACCCTAATCTTATCTTTATCCGACACTAAGCTTGATCACGACGATCACATCCCCACCCCGGCGCGACGGGTCTCAGTGCAATTACATTTATAAAAAAAATCTTGTCCAATGATTGCGGTTTCATGTGGAGTTTATTGTATTGATAATTTCGGACTTGTTGCGAATTTAATGTATCGATAATTTCGGACTTGTTGCGAATTTATTGTATTGATAATTTCGGACTTGTTGCGAATTTTTGTATCGATAATTTTGGACTTGTTTAACAATTTACTCATATAGTAAATCCCTAAAATTATCACGATTAAACACATTTGCTTAATTTAATTTGAAAAACAAAGTCTCAACAGATATTTTGTGACCTATTTTGTTCAAGAGTAATTTCTGATATTAACTTCAATTCATCAGTATACCTAAGTGCTCAGAAAAATATAAATTTTAGGTTGTTTTTTAACTTTTATTTTTCGGAACCACATGCATGTCCGGTTTTCGCACGCTCGTTTGCATGCTTGCTAATTTTTTAACCAATTTTAAACTAACCTTTAACGTACATCGTCTTTAACCAGTCAAAATCAAATAACCAATAATAATGTTAGCTGAATATTTGTTTAGATTGCATTATTTTTGAGCGTTTTGCCTATGTTTGTTCATTTTTGACAGCGATCGAGATTCTCCGTCTCCGTATTTCATTAAAGCAAGAAACGCCGCTGGCTACGATCCTAACAATGATATTTGCAGGACTCAAGATCAAGTCCCATCATGCAGTGGAGAAGGATGGACTTCAATCGGCATCTTGCAAAATTCTACTACCCTGGTAAGTACAATACCGATTAACTATGCTTGCTTTAAAACGGAGACGTCACTATATAACGACTGGGTCAAATGCCACTCTAATGTTGTCTTTTATCGGTGTCAGTGTTATGACGATCGACGTCAATAGTTACCGCGATACTCCGATACCAGGGAAAGTACAACACATTTTATATGTGGCAGAAATTTACTCTTTGTAGTGGAGGGGCAAAGCATACTAATTTTTTACGCAAATCGTTCTGAATTTCCCCCCAGGTAAGCAAATATGTAAAAAAGATGGTGCTTTGTAAGCTATGACACTTGTATTATTAAACTTACGTGACAAGATACAAAACCTTAAAATTTTGAGAACGCAAGGCTTTCTGTAATGTCCTCGCCCAGATCGAAATTTAATCCCGGCCGAGCCTGGCAGAAAATCCTTTGGCATTCTTGAATCTTTAATCTTGGGTTAACCAGGAAGGCAAAATTAAACAAACTGAGGATTAAAGAAAGCATCGTTTCCTCAAATGAAATGGCCACAATGTTTTCCCTCAGAAAGAAGTACAAATAATGAAATGAATCTTAACTATAGTGACAAGCGTTCAAAGGGGGGTGGGGGGTGGGGCAACCACGAGAAGTTCAATTCCTTCTTATATGTACAACAGTGGAAAGTGAACATCCTAGTGGGCACCCTATCCCATGCAAACGCTGTAGTTATGGCTGTTTCTTCTATATACATTCTGGTTTTCCAGCCGGATGACCATTTTAATACTGATGTGATTATTTAACATATGTATACTAAAACTTTATAAATTATTTAAGGATCATTGGACTTATGAAAGTGAATTGTGGACAGCAAAAGGAACCGATCAGTGTATCTTGAATTCGCAATTTTGGAGTGCTAATGTCACTGAAATTTGCCTAGCATCGGCGGTATTTAATATTCAAATTCCCGTGGAAGCTCCCTCATTGCGCAGCTTGTTTTTCGAGAAAAGAATTCTGAACATGAATTCCCAGCAATGGGCTGACTCTCTTGTACAGGATGCAAACCCAGTTTTTACAACGGGATGTTTTGAAATTGGTTTTAACGTCGGAAATGAAAGTGAAGATGCACCTCGTGCGCGTTTAGGAATTGTTTCCACACATGGCACAGGTAGGCATATTACTATAATTATAGTTACAGAAATCCTTGAAATGACTCACAACACGATTGGCAAAGCACTCAGGAGTTTCGTGAGAGAATTGAAGTAGCTTCAGTACCAGACGATATTTGGTGCCAAAAAACTAAGCACTCACGAAAATGGTATTTATTTTAGAAAATACATTACATAAATATTATGAGTCATAAGGAAATAGGTAATGTGCATTCAGAAAGTATATAATGCATTCGAAATTCAAAGTTTTGACATATATTACTTGGCAGAGATGTGAAAGCAATGTTCCAACATGACTGGGAATAACATTTACCTTTGACATATACTGTAGGAAGCCTAGCAGTATATCTACGAAACAGGAGACGTCAGGGCAACTAAAAAATTTTTGTATTTCGGATAGTTGGACAATAGATGGGCACAATACAGTAAAAAAAATATTATTATATAATAGAGAGTGAGATACTGAAAAATACACTGCGAGATATTTTTCATATCTTCACTAGTGAAGATATTGATCACGTGACTTTTTCCAATTTGCATTTGGGCGTGAAATTTCACAATTTTTTACTTGGAACAATATAAGAAACAGAACATACACGGTGGCTTGAAGATATGACTTTTATCTTCTCGAGTTAAAAACAATATTTTACTCACTCGCTGCGCTCGTGGGTAAAATATTGTTTTCACCACTCCAAGATAAAAGTCACATCTTTGCTCCGCCGTGTAATATCCTCTTTATCTTGAACGGTCTTTGCCAGTGTAGGCAGTTCCAAAAATAACAAAAATTTGCTCGATGCGGATGCAACTTCCGGAAAAATACAACTTCCTTGTGGGAATTAAAGTTAGGAGCTACTGCCTTCCTTTGGCTAGATGGCGGAAGCTCTCTAGCTTCCTTTGCCAACTAAATTTCCGACGAAGGGTGTTCCCTCGATTGGTCGACGCTTTCATTCTTCAGATAGTTGCATCCCTATAAACCGGGGATTTGTTATAAGATTGATGGGTATAAATCTGATTGGTATGAAAAATGCAATCAACTGAGCCAAATACATACCAAAAGTACATGCATACAGAAACCCCTCACCCGGCTAGACAGAACACCAAAATTTTCTAAACAATTATGGGCAATAATAACATACCTATTGCACATATGCACACTTCAATTTCAATTATTGCATGTAAAATTCAACCTAATGCACTTCGCAAAATGTTTTTGAAGTTCATTAACTAAACTGTTTTTATTGATGAACATTGACTTTCAACTTTCAACTTTCAACTAACGATTATGCAATTCTCTCATGAAAATAACTTTGCTTTCTGTTTTATTTAAAGGTGATCTACAGTCCGTATGTAAACAAAGCCTTTGTTTACATTTTTGTGTACAAAATATTGAGCTTTATTCGACAACTATTTATATTTTCAAGCTTCTAGAGTATAATAAATGATCAAGAAACAACAATCAGGCTTTTCAAGAACTCAAAACATAGTTAAACTGTTTGTATCATAAAAAGTGGGCTCATTTGTGCACATGCGCAGATCGGACTGTAGATCACCTTTAAGAATTCTACTAATCATCACACTCGCTTTAGCTCTACTGATTCATACCGACCAAACCGTTGCAGAACATGTTCTTTCCGAAACCTATTTTTCAATAGGATAGTGCCACTTTGGAACAGCCTGCCAGGAGAAATAAAATCCCCTCTCTCTGTTCAGTCACTGAAAACTCTATAATCACTACACTCAAAAAGTTAATGCATGTTTTGATGTTAATAGGCCAAGGACTTGGAAATCGTTTTGCTCTAAATGTCGTTCTTGTTTTATGTCTTGTTGTTCGTAGAAGTGCATGTTCTGAGTTTTTGTACGAATGTAATTATGTGTAATACCGTAAATATGTAACTATAGCTATGTATTATAATTTTGTTAATTTTATAACCGTTTATAGTATAATATAGTATAGCATAGTATAGCGTAGTATTTTCATGTATGGCAGGACTTAATTTGGGACTTTATTAGTCCTGTTGTCTGTGCCTTCAATTTCGCATTGTAAAACTAATAAAAAAAAATAAATAAAAAAACAATACACTGAATACGCTGTCTTTTCTATTATTTGCAACAACAGTTTTTAAAGTAAGCAATACATTGATCTTAAAATCAAACTTACTTCAGGTTTTACGATTCCTAGAAAACTATTTCCCCTGGTCCAACAAATAAACTGATTGGCTGCTCGTCCCATATAACGATTATTCAAGTTTCGCGTCAATTTTTTCAAATCCAACTCATTCAAGCATTCAACAGATCCGCTCATAAAATTTGCAATACTTTTGAGAACAGTGGCAGGCCTACCCATGCAATATAGACCATTGAAGAACTTTAGACTTCACTATTGCTTTCCTTTCCCTTCCCTTCCCTTCCCGGGCGTAATTAGCCAAGCGGAATTACTTCTCTCTCTTCGGGCTTACGCCTGGAACGGCGTTTCACATCGTTGTCTCCGGGGTTTATAATTTTATATAGATGAGCTTTACCGACCAGTTTTTTTGTCGGCTACAAAAATACTTTGTAGAACTACGAAATACTTGAAAAGCTTTACAAAAGATTTCCACATAGCTCTAAAAATTCATTCATGTAAGGAAAAATACTTTCGATTTCCATATCTCTTTTGTGCACTTGATAGTCTTTATACTAGGATACCATTTTTGCATTGGAACATCATTTAGGACTTAAATAACCATATGGTAGTCGTTATGATATTAAATTATATTATTACTGTCTCCGTCCTTGTGTGCTATAACTGTACAAATCAGATCCAAAAAAGAGGATTTTTACTAAACATTTTGAATAAACACACGAAGTATGCCTCATGCCCTTTGCTTGATGATATTATATTTACTCTTTACTATATCAATATTACTTATCTAGGTTGCTCTGAAGGAATATATATTTTGGGGGTAGGACTAGGTGCTCCAGGATTAACAGGCAGCTATCATGGATATTACAGCAACCAAGACGTTAATTCAACTGGATCGGTATCCGTTTATGTCCGCTCAAGACCTGTGGGTCAATCATCGTCAACCACGGGACCACCAACCACGGAACCACCAACCACGGGACCACCAACCATGGAACCACAAAGCACGGGACCACCAACCATGGAACCACCAACCACGGGACCACCAACCATGGAACCACAAACCACGGGACCACCAACCACGGAACCACCAACCACGGGACCACCAACCACGGAACCACCAACCACGGGACCACCAACCACGGAACCACCAACCACGGGACCACCAACCATGGAACCACAAACCACGGGACCACCAATCATGGAACCATAAACCACGGGACCACCAACAAGGGGCCACTAATCTTGAGAATTCTATAAACCACGGGACCATCAATCATGGAAACAATACAGGCCTAACATAAGCGATGCGTTGGCAATCTTCAATATTTTAAGTAACGTAAATATATCCTAGTTTCCAGAATACTTTTCCACGTAATGTAATCTTAATTCATTAAATACAAACAATAGTAACCCCGAACACAGTAAACATTTTTCAAAAATGTTTATTAATGTAATGTAATCTTGTGTGTTTTAATTCACAAAAAAGTTGAAAAAAAAACGATGCTGATATATCTGAGCGTAATTAATTAATGACTAGAAATATGTCCACAAACGTTGCCTCTGCTGTTCCATTGCAAGCCGTTCTCTCCTCCACAGAACTGCTCGCGGTTTTAAATCAGTTCATTCATCTCGAGCCCTGTACAAAATGCATGTAACACGCGCTCATTTGCTTCCCGTAAAGAAATTTGTGTAAGACTAAAAGATGAATGAGAGTGTGTGAGTGTTGACAGACACGATATTTGGTTAGCACTAACATCAAAACTACATCGTGACAGGCGCACAGAATTATGTCATAAGTTTTAAAATGTCGAAAATATTTGAAAATTCCACTGAATTTAAACAAAAAAATGGAATGAATTCATGCAATTAAATCTATAAACATCAATAAATACCTTCGATAAATGTGCAAAAATCACTCACAAAAGCTAGCAACTCGGTAAATCCCAATTCAGTCATTCAGCTGCGACTTCAAAATCCAATCCGGTCTTCGAAAACAAATACTATTTCGGTCATTTGACTATGTCGATGTCACATTTTCCAGCTGGTTTCTTCACTCCGTGCAACATAGGCAATGTTTAAGTGCTTTTCAATTGCCATAGTCGCTCAGAGCAAAATAATTGCCTTTTTATCACACGGTTTTATTCCTTTAATTAAAACAATATTTTTCCCCCTTGATAAATTTTTAGTTTTTCCTTATTTATTACCGTCTAGCGCATTTTAAGCTTAGCCAATCAGAATTCAGCATGTGACTTAAACGAACCAATAGCATTTCGTTATTTGTATAGATCACTGAGTTTTACTAAATTACTGGAGAATCGTACGTGCTCCTATCTCTGGTCAGTAAAAAAAGTATCGCCAAAAACATGGCGGATTTTCACGTTTGCTGACGCCATATGGTTCCTTCGGCTCATGGCAATTACCACTGATCAACCGCGATCCTAAGCATCCGACAAAGACCTTCGCCCGCCTGTTTTTGCACAAATATTTTATGTTTTCGAGACAAAATTATACCGTTTTTCTCCGCTTGTGGATGCAAAAATTCGCTGTAAAGACTTTAAAAGGAAGAATATTTCTTCTGAAAGGTAAGATATGTGAAAATTTTAAGTTTTTACTTTTTTATTCGACTAATTCTAAATTGGCAAAGTCATGGGACGATATGCGCATAAATCGAGGAATAAATATATATTTGTCAAACAATTATATTTTATATTTACACCAATGTTTCTAGAGCAGACATAAAAAACGTTGTACATGGTTATTTATACATTGTGTACATACATTTTGTTTCTAGTTTCAGGCACTGGCTTTTGTTTTTAGTGCCAGTTTATTAGTTTAAACAGCAGCTCATGCAATCTGTACTCTGTAGTTTGCTTTTGTTTTATAACGAGAAGTTTATAGCACTAGATTATATACAGTATAAACAAGCTGTATTGTATCCTTCACAAATATTATAAACTGCTAGTCTTGCTACTTGCTAGGTTTTGTATCAGCATTTACCAATTGACTGTGTAGTTAGGGTTTTTTGTGGGGTTGTGCACTACATTTCAGTCAGCATCAAGCTATCGACTTGTGCATACCCAAATTTGCATGATTTATACTTATATTATTCTTACATTGGCATTACCTTGAGTGCTAGTATGGGTCAACCTCTATGCCTCATAAAAATCTCCAAACAAAGAACCTTCTTCACTCAGAAAATACCTCATACCGTCACGGGAGTCTGGATTTATGGTGAGACCAGAAAGCCATATTTATTAGTAGGTCCCTTAGGGGCCGATTACATGGGGAGTTTTCAGCCCGGGCTGAATTTCAGCCCGGTTAACCGAGCTGAAATAGCATCGCGATTACATGGGCAATTTGAACCCGGTCTGAGTTTTAGTCAGAGCTACATTATCCCTTCTAGTAAACAAACCCGGGCTGAAATGTCATCCCGGGATGAAATCATACGATATCACGAAAGGCAATATTCCGCTTGTTTGATCCACAGGTTTGAGCATTTAAAACGCCGATTTGTGGACTATTTGACTTGTGTAAGACTGTGGTTGGATATAAAGTATGAAAGATGAGACGAAACGCAAAATAAAGCCATTTGAACGATTGTTTTTTTTAGCCCGGGCTGAAATTATTTGCGATTACATGGGATATTTCATCCCGGTTGACAGGGCTGAAAATCTCATCCCGGGTGACATAAACCGGGATGAAAATTTCAACCCGGGATGAAATTCAGCCCGGGTTGAAATTTTTTCCATGTAATCGTAAAATTCATTTTATATTGAATTTATAGGGCCCCGGGCTGAAATTTCATCCCGGGCTGAAAACCTCCATGTAATCGGCCCCTTAAGCCGGTTTTCCACTTGCGAATTTTTTCGCGCGAAGCGAATTTTTCTTCATTGTCTTTATCCAGTTAGTTCCAGATGGTTCCAGTTGAGAGACCAAAGACAAATGAAAAATTCGCTTCGCGCGAAAAATTTCGCAAGTGGAAAACCGGCATTAGAGATTAACCCATTGAGTCGCATTGCGCCCTACTATATTATTTTACTCTGTCTGACGCCAGATGATTTTCCTCGGCAAGCGGAGAGTGCTGGTGGTTAATGGGTTAATTAGAATATGTGTCTAGTTAACCTATTGAGTCACATTGTGCCCTAATTAGTATTTTACTCTGTCTAACGGCAGATTATTTTATTCCGTCTAACACCAGATAATTTTACTCATCAATTGGGGAGAGCGCTGGCACTTAATGGTTAATTCAGATTTATACAAGTTAGAGTAGTAGTGGTGCACCAGAGCTAATAGTTTCAAGCCAGTGCTGTAGAGTATGAACTGTATGAAACAGTTTCACACCATAGATTAAAACAATCATAAACAAAGTAACTTTATTTCTCATTTCTATTACAGGAATCAAAGTGATATATGCAAGAACTGAAGCAAAAATGTTCTTGCTGTAACAGCTGTATTGTATCATGATAGTTAACATGGATGTGAGGCCTACTTTGGGGGCCAAGGTCGCCTAATGTCGCCTAATTTCGCCTAATTTCGTCCACTTTCGCCCATGTGCACCCAATTTTTTAACTTTGCCTGACAGTCTATTTGCTTAATGTCGCCTAATGTCGCATAATCTCACACAAGCATGCCCAATTTTGCACTTTGAGTTTGTCGTCCATACTAGTCTATTCCTTATTTATTTGTTAGTTTCTTGCATGTTTTTTTCATAAATACATGTACACAAACACCAAGGGCATGTGCTGTTAGGGCGCCATCTCTCACCAGTATTAATGAGGCTTGGTTATTTGGGGTTTATATGTATATGAATTACAACACATTAATCCTAAGGCAGCCTTCTGGCCATCTTCTCCAATGTGTTTCTTTGTGAAACTCAGTCAATTTAGACAATCACACGCCATTAAATGTTGTATATAAAATCAAACTTAGATCTTATTATCAAAGATACATTCATGATAACTGGCGAGTGCAAAAGTACAGAATACCTCTCACTAGCCTAGTGAAGGACACTAGGTATCCTAAAGGCCGAACGGTACCGTCGGTATATATATATATATATATATATATATATATATATATATATATATATATATATATATATATATATATATATATATATATATATATATATAATCGGTCACGAGTACTAAATACTGCCCGGAGCGCCCGGGGACGTCCAGGAGTACCCGGGGACGCACTGAAGCGCCCGGGAGCGTGTGAGAACGCCCGGGGATATATAAGATATAGTATAAATCAGTGCACGATCCTTTTTGAGTCTCTATGAGGCATTATATCAATGAACTTGGAATTCATCTCGGGTAAGTTGCTTTTTGGCCCTGGAATTTCTCAGAAGTAAACAAATTATCCTGGCTATGGAATTCTTCAGGTGTTGGGTATTTTCAATGAGATTTCATCAGGGGTCAAAGGCAAAAATTGAAATTCTATAGGTAAATGCTGAATTATTTTTAAAGTGGTAACTGCTATTAACAGGAAACCATCATGGGACATACTTTGTTACAGTAGGAATTTCTCAGGGGTACATATAGTAAAACCTTGAACTCGATAGGGGGGTTACCACCGGTACATGTTACTGTATATGGAATAGTCCTATCTATAAATAAAGAAAGTCATCTATAGTATGTTCAAAATACGACTTTGTAGTGTGTAAAATAAAAGTACTTACTTTTCGACGAAGCTACGATGATCGACATCTCATAATTAGGTATCATCGCAAAAGATACAGAGCAATGAACGCACCACAGAAAGATCTACGGTACAGGTTGTTTATATAAAATGTGGCCAAGGCCCGCCATAACAATTATTATGCTTCCTTACACGAAGTAGTACAAGTTAGAAGCTAAACCAGACGTGCCATGGTATTGCGGGCTCAAATCCCAGCCGAACAAGAACAGGTCTCTGAGGTTTTGGATAAAAGGAATTTAATTATTTATTAGTTCAGTTAAAGTAAAGGAACTGTCATCTAATTTTAGTAAAGTAAGTCAGTATAGTTATACAAATGTATATGGATTAAACTTTTTCTATCTGTTTGCTTTGAAAGTAAATTCTATTTTTTATTGAAACTATAAGATTTATAGTTATCACTATTTGAGATATTTGTTTGCCAGTTTGGTGGGTTAGATTTCAAGCATGGTTATGGTGGTACATGATTTACATGGTACACGTTTATGATAGCTAGCTAGCTGACAATTTATTTACCTTAAATGCCAATTCTTTCACTTCCATCACTGCATACCACAGTCCATAAACAGGTTTTAAAACTCTATGAGGTGTTTACACCAGTCAATTTAATGAGAAGTCAGAGTTCCATGATACTGTAAATGTACCATGCACTGCATGGGCATGTATGTGTACTACGGTATAAACTTTGAGTAAATTGTCAGGCTAGCAGTTAGATAAATGTTCCTTGTTATTTTTTGATATTTGTAATAAACTAATTGTGTTCTTTGCCACAGGAACCAATTTTTGATAACTAAATTATATTTTGA